CCAGGCACAGGTGTGGAAACCATAATCTTATGATTGAAAAAGGTAGACATGACAACAAACCCTCGAACGAGAGGGTATGCACACTATGTAAGGATGAAATAGAAAACGAATATCACTTTTTGTTAACATGTGAGATGTACCCGGTACAGGGACTTAAGAACAAAATATATACCAAACAGGTACACCTGTCAACCAAATATCCAAAGGTTTAGACAGCTTATGTCTTCCAATGACAGAGATTTGATGATTAACCTGATTAATTATGTTTATTATGCCTTTAGAAAAAGAGAATCTTTTTTTTGCAACGGATAGTGCACGTACACGGTACATGAGCTCTCCGCATGCGCAATAGTTACGTTATATGAACCATTTACATTTGTAATCTGGGCAAATGCCTTTATACGAAAATAAATTAATGCATATGCCGATGCCAGATTCATGGTCGTACGGACTCCGTTCAGTGTAAAGGGGTTTAACGAAACTGACTGAGAGTGTAACAGAAAATCTGCCCTCCGTTTAGGGTAAGTCTGGCCTACGTGGGTCAAAATCTAAGGAATCATTTTAACGACACTTTATAAACCTGATTGCTAGCTCAAATTTGATTAATTAGTATTTTAATATTAAAATGTTATAATTATATTTATCAGGCCCGTAGCACCGGGAGTTGGGGGGAGTCGATATATATTAATAAGGCCCCTCCTGGGTAAAATTGCCCCAGGTCCACATTTTCAGAATAAGACCCCCTTTGAAATTTCTGGCTACGACCTGGTTACACAACTTGGACGATCAGATTTCAGATATAAAAAACAAGTCAAAGACTTCTAGCTCTATCTAGATCTATCTAAAACCATTGAAAAGAGACCAATGCGGAAGCTACCTGAGAAATATTAAGTGCGCAAATTCATATGGATCTTAATCGTGAAAACACCCCCCTTCCAATAAAGAAATTAATCGACGATAATTTTTCACAACAGCATAAGATGAATGTGAAAAGCTCCAAAGTAAAATTTCACGTACAGTAATTGAATAGGGTATCTCCGTGAATATCTCCGTGAATATCTCTGGTGACATTATCTCCGTAGATAGCCGATTCATTGCTGCACGACGGGCCAATTCATTCCTTTTTCGTCTCTGTTTTGAAAGATAATAGAACAGAAGAGCTTTTTTTCTCGATCGCCTCCAGCCGCCATGCTTTCTTCACCTCGAGTTTAATTGATGAGCATTCACACTTAATATTTCTCAGGTAGCTTACGCATGGCGAATGGAGCCGAGATTTAATGACTGTACCCCCGCAGGGACGACGCGTGGGGAGGCGTGTGAGAGACGGAGAGACTATTAAAAGATTAGGCGGTTTTTCCTTCATGTACGTCCGCCATATTTAGTTCCTGGATTTGTAGAGCCATGGCTTTTTATAAAATAAGAGGCTGACAGAATGTCACATTTGTCTTGGCATTTGTCACTGATTAGTGCCTACCCCGGTGTAAAAGGTGTATTAGTGTGATCATATTTGTGGAATTTCATGTCAGATGGACATATTAAGATCTAAGAATTCGTCACAATATTAGAAAAGATACATCTTTGCACAGCAGTCGTAGATCGGTACGATTCAGTTGTTAGTTACCAACTACTTCCTGGTTTTCACAAGGTCCTTCAAGACCTCTAAAACATCGTAATAATTGCAGCACATACCACAACACACCTAAAAATACTTAGATATGGACATATCAGATTATATAAATGCCAAAATTCCACATGATTTATAGCCTCCCAGGAATTCTTTTCCTTTGACGCTCTTTGTCGCGCTGGCGGTCGATGCAGCATGTATTTCAAAACAAATTGACTGCAAATAAAGCACGGTTTTGCACCTTCAAGTTCCGTGTCACGTTTTCATTATATGCACCTATTATTTCTACAAGTATTCTCTGCCTAAAATGCGTAAAGAAAAAATTTTATCTAACCAAGGTGATTGGAAAACTGCTTTTTCCTCTGACTACACGTCTTTTCTCCCGTTCATCTCCAGCTTAAAATGACCACTCAGCTTCGCTTCTAACTCCATTACACGTCACTTCCGGGCACACTTCCGGCACAATTTTAACTAATTCTCGTCTCCTCCGGCACCCTTTATTCGAGATCAGTAGTGTCAAAGCGGCGCTGTATGCTGACGATTTTTTCAGAGGTGATTATTTGGACGATTTGCTGGAAGGGAATGATATCATAGAAGGAGGTAATAGGATGGTGACTGAGGACGGTCGCCATGAGTTTTATTTTCTATCGATGATAGATGGCTTTTTATTGCACACCCTATAGATAAATCACCTAGAAGTCGAAAGAAAACGTTCCAACTGGCTTGTGAAAATGAAATTCCTGTGAACGCCTGTCCTCTCTGCCAAACGATAAAATATTAAAACATAAAAGTTTGGATACTCCAGCCCTAAGGTCCCGTAAACATATATGATTAAGTTGTTTCAGTTTTATGCAGAATAAGTTTGCTTTTTTTTTCAATTGTGCAATTATATTCTTCTACATCTGACTTGATTATTCCAGTCCGTGTCACATACTTTTCTAACTTACAGGCCCGCAAGGTCTAAGAATCTAACAGGCCGAACGAAAAAAAATCCTAGAAGATAAACCGGCTTCTTATTACAAATAGGATAAAAACATGGGATTTTCAAAAGGTCATTATAGATCACGACAACATTTAGTATGAACATTTATAAAATAAATTGGAGTACATGTTACAGCTGAAAAAATTAACTGGGCCAGTAAGTGACTGCTTTTAGGAGATTTTACTGGAACAGTCTTAATTTTACAGGGAATCGGTAACATATTCTTATAAAGAAATATAGATATCTAGGTTTTGGGTTTTTTTCCACATGACAGTAACATTAATTTATGTACACTTTTGAAATGTATAGAGTCTGTGAGGCGACTGGGAATCATGACAAATGTCACGAAGAAGCACTATAAATTTCATGATATTTGAAACAGTCTCTGTTGGCCAGTCTTGTCCAGTTTCTTCTCCAAAAAGGAGAACTCGACTTACATTTTCCTCAGGCCTTTTCTTCTGCCTTGCTTATGGCACGCCACTCAGAAAAGAGGTAAACCTGTATGTTAGAAAAAAACATAATAATAGCATTATGAACTACAAGTATCCACGTATAAATTATGGAATGAAGCAATGAAGTTTAATGTGTCATTGTTGTTATGACTTGACTGAAATAATGTAAACCACATAAATGTACAATTTACAACAAAATTAAAAAAGTTTCTTCAGGCTCATAATCCCACGAAATTGAAAGAATTTATACTTATTACAAGAAATTAGATATCATATATCAAAATTATTTAAATCTGCCTCGGTTACCACTCTACTGACAGGACACAAAGGCCATTTCAGAGAGGCCAGTCCCTTAAAAGGAAAATGCCCAAGGTTTTTGTTGTTTGAAAATGGTGAAAAAAATTGTTGTTAGTGAATGTTTAATGCATCGCAGGCTTACCTCAGACACACTGACCTTTTTTCATTGATATTTTTAATTCTTCCCAGCCTGATCTTGATTCATATTCAATGCAGCCTTCTCTCATATCTATAATAGAAAAAAAAACTTGAGTAAAGTGTTTAGATATGCATGTCCGAATCATTATCAATTGTGAGAGAATTTCTGTTTTGACATTGCAAGACGAAATATTTACTTTCAAGTAATGAATAAGCCATAACAGAGCTCAGTTCTTTTGTCATCACCGAGGCAAAGCTTCTTTCATAAAATGAACTTATACACCCAAGCTTGCCACCTAACATGCCAAAGTAATATAGTATAATTACAGTAAGGAAGCAAGTACCCCTTAATTATGTGGGGTGCACAGATTTACTACTCTTCTGGCCATAGAAGGAGATATAGGTTGGATGAATACTAAGTATAAAAGATGGTTTCACCTTATAAGATTGTGGAACAGACTTTTGAACATGAGTGACGATAGGATCACAAAACAAATTTTCCTTAGAGATTATGACTTGGTAAAAGAGGGTAACATTACTTGGTGTGCTCAGGTCTCTCAAGTTTTAGCTGTTTGTGAATTGGAGCATTTGTTTAATGATTAAATTTTAGTTTCTTTTGATGTTGGCGTTATAAAGAATATATTATTTAAACTGTAAGAGAGAGTATGGAAGGAAGCCGTGTTAAAAAAGCCCAAGTTAAGGGTCTATAGAAAACTTAAAGAAAACTTAGTATTGGAAAATTACGTTAAGTGTAATTTAAAAGCTGTAGTTATGCTTTTAAAAGCTTTTACCTGTTTTTGAGAACCTTATCCAACATCATATCCTCTGCACTTTGTACTTCTCTCATTTTAACGAACTTTTGAATGCTTTTCTCTTTGTGTACTCTCGAAAAAACTTCTGAAGGCACCTTTTCCGGAAAACGAGATTTAAACGAGACCGTGACAGAGATAGTCACCCATTACCCTCTACCAGGGCGAGTGATTTTTTTACAACTCACCCTGTTGAGAAATCCCATGTGGAAACAATTATCTCTGCGCGCGCGCCAAAGGCTTTGTACTTGCTTTGCATGAGCTGAGCTTCAAAACGATGTGATAACTGCTCGTTACGCATTCAGTCTAAGGCTTTTTTATCTGTCACAGAAGAGCAAGTGATTGAAGTCAGAGTAATTAACTGTCTTGATTGATGTCACGCAGACTTAGACTGGACCTGCTAAGTGGCAGTGCCTGAGCAGTTATGCAAACAATTATCAGCTACTGAGCCCTAAATGACCATCTATCTAGCTAGAGACATATCTGTGAATATCTGTAAAAAAATCTATCACTCGCCCTGGTAGAGGGTAGTCACCCATTGTTCTCTGGGTGCTATTCATTCCGATCAATGAGAGACCGTAAAACGGGCTCTGCCCCACGCGTGTTATCTGTTATAACTCCTTGGTAGGAGTCAGATCAGTCCGTCGAACCACCGGAAATACTCGGTACTGAATAACCTTATGACCTATCGTGAGTAAATTTATACAAAGACGTACCGCCATAAACGAAAACTAGGGGATTTTTCAAAGTCATAGCGGCCATTTTATTCACGAATGCATCAGCCACCTCGTCGTCCAGGAGACCTACCTAATCTCGACGAAAACCCCGTGGTATACGAAAGAGCACGTCACCCGTCTTTTGCCACCATTCACGCCAGACTATCGACCTATGAATCATGGCCTCCCGAAAAAGACCAAACGCCAGCATCGCTCGCAGAGGCAGGATTTTTCTACGCGGGTTTTAATGACAATGTAAAATGTTTTTTCTGCAACGGCGGGTTGAAGAACTGGGAAGTTGGAGACGAACCGTGGAGAGAACACGCCAGATGGTTTCCTAAATGTGGATTTTTAAAACAATGTAAAGGACTAGAGTTCATACGGAGCGTTGTGAGGTCTGGACGGGTAAGTGTATTACATGCAGTGTACATGTACGTACCAGAGAAACGATTAATTTTTCTGGGTTTTCACAGATATTTCCTCGGCAAAATCTACTGCATACAGGTTTACTTGGTATATCAATCGTGTCCTTAAATATGAAGTTATCAAGTGGAAGTTTTGAAGTATTTTTAAACGCAATTTAATAGAAATGTTTTCTTGATAAACACACATACAGGCAAATGTATGCGCAATATGCATATATACATGAGAGGCTTCTCCAACAGCTATATTTAGATCGCGGTCATGAGTTTATGCACGATAATTACTCAGCAACCTCTATTAAAACCGACACAACCTACTAATGTTTGGTGTATTTCAGTTTTATTATCCAGCCATAAGAATGACGTTAATGTGAAACACGAAAATAAATCCAGGTTATCCTCTACCAGTGCCACAGTTTGAACCAACCAATAGCTTTTAACAGTTATCTCTATGCGCTGATGCAATGCACATTTTCTCTAGCGTCTGGCGAGAAGTTTTCACAGTATTGACTTAAACGTTATCGCTCAGCCGGCCTCTGATAAAGAGCAATCCCTGTTCAGCCGAAGTGCAACTTACTTTTGAATACTTTTGATTAACTTGAGTTGTCAGATGCCTCAATCATCACGCCCAGGTTTCTACATTTTATTAAGAATGTATTCAAACTGGTGCTGATTAGATAAATTTATTATTTTTATTATTATTATTTCCTTTATTAATTTACATTTTATTATTATTATTATTATTATTATTATTATTATTATTATTATTATTATTATTATTTCCTTTATTAATTTACATTTATTATTATTATTTTTTTAAAATTATTATCAGTTTAGAATATATGTATATTTCTATTTCATTTCAGGGATCACCGCCTGGTATCCCGGGAGGCGAACAGGGGGGTGCACCATCTTCTCAAAGTACGTGTACATGATGACATTTCTGTGGATATAACACTGGGTGAAATCTACGATAGAAACTAAATATGGCATTTCCACAATGCATATGCATACGCATAAGTGGCTAAGCAGATGGTGTAGCGTTTATGTCTTTGTTTAATTTGATCTTGTGTGTGAAAGAAGAGCAGTATTGTAGTAGCGTATCGACCAGGTCTTTGTTAGGAAAACGAACGGCAGGTGGACCTGCATACGCTTCGGCGAAAAAAAAAACGATGCTATTTTTCCAAAGCTCTTAATGCAGTTAAGAAAACATCTCGAGGCGGTCGTTAAAATGAGTCATCTTACCTAGGTGACAAAGGACCCAATTTTCTCTTATACATGTAAGGGCCACTCCAACACAGTCATTTACATCAAGAATTTTTATTTCCATTTTATAACTGCCAGTGATGCTAAATACTGTATGAAAGCCTTATACCTTTTATTCGCCTTTAATATTCACATTTCCAAACAGAAAAAATGCAAATAGATCGAATATTTTCCTCGAAAACCATAACCAGATATGTTAATTGAGCGTTGACAAATATTTTATTCATTTTCATTCTGGCCCACGAACACTGAGTGCTGAATTAAGAAAACCCTATGCTCGTGCTGCGTTAGATGTGGGTTTTGAGGAATCCGTGGTGAAGCAGGCCATTCAACAAAGATGGGATACACTTGGTACTTGATTTTTCTTTTTATTATAAGAAAAAAGAAAGCAGCTGTTTGTATGTGCACTCCAAATATATATAATGTGTACATTAATGCCTATGTAAAACTTACTGGACAGTTAATTTTACTAGTAGACTTTCTATTCGACTATCTTTATTTTCATTTTTACAAGTAGAAATTGATGCAGTTATTCACAACATATAAATCTCAAAACACTCATTTCAGGAGATGACTTCCCAAATGCACCAGCTCTTTTAGACGCTGTATTTGAACTACAGTCATCTGACAGCAAACCACGTGACACTGAATCCCCTGTCGAAGGTGCATCTGCGCTCACAACACCCGAAAAGAAAGAAAAGTTGAAAGACGAAGGGAAGACGAAGACAGAGGACCCTTATGAAGATATCAGAAAGGAAAACCAACGTCTCAAAGAACTGAAACTGTGTAAAATTTGTAAAGCGGCCGATGCTGATGTCTTAATTTTACCTTGTGCGCACATTGTGTCTTGTGACAATTGTAAGCGACACCTATCTTTTTGTCCCGTCTGTGGCGGAAGGATAACGGCACTCGTGAAAACGTATCCTGCTTAAGATGTATTTCCTTTCAATAGACATTTACGGGAACTTTTGTTATTCAGATACTCGTATTATTGGAACCATCAATGCATGATATATGTAATGCTTTACGTTACACATTATATACAGGGTATTGTATATCAATAGGATCTATCCCCGTATGTGTTCATGGTTAAATATACAAGTGTATGTTACTCATACTGTATCCGAAAAAGAAACACATTCCCACCATGTGTATGTTTTACGGACAGTTCGTTAAACCAAATGTGTAAAAGGATCTTGTGTACAGTGTACTGTAGATGAGGAGGTGGACAAAAATGAGCCCCTACTGTCTCATCCAAGAGTTAAAAAGTCCGCTAAAGAAAAATTCAGGGGCTAACATTTTCTGACAGTCTTCCTAATTATCTTTATTGATCCATCCTTCATTTTCGACCAACTTCCGTCATAAAAAATTAGATGTCCATCAAGGTAAACTTGAAAAATTCTGACAGTCTTCCAGAAGACCCTGCAGACGGCCTCCATCCTCCCCTGCATTTTGTTCTCGATACTACAAAATATTCCAAAATTGCATTTTCTTTTTCAAACATAAATATGGGTAGGGAAAGGGAGGAGAAAAAGGTGACGATTTAAAACAGGGTAGGGGAATTCTTGATACTCTCTATCCTACACCGGATTAGCCTATCAGATAAAGAATGTGCATCAGGCTGGGGGTCCCCTTATCTCACTGCTTCCTGTGCTAATGGCTGACATTATTGATAAAAAAGCGGTGAGAGGGTCACCTTCTTGCTTTCAGCCGGGCTCCTTCGCTAGTTCGACAATGAAGTCAAATACGTGAGAGCAGTCTGAACTATGCTTTAATAGTGCACCCTATGTATGAGCTATGTGAAGGCCCCTTGGAAGTTGTAGATTTTGTACACAAAGCGTATTCCCAGTATCTACATGTATAATTAATTTAGTAACAGCGCTATGTAATTAGCTCTGGTACATTTGTGTAGTTTTTACTTTTTGTTGTGTATATTGCCACACATACACGGAAATAAACTGCTTCTTCTACTACTAGTTATGTAAATATGGAATGCAGTAGCTGAGTAATGTGTTCACAACAACGACATCGCCTATGCACGACACAACTATAACACTGTCACACTTTGTACTGTATACTGGGTATCTGAACACAGACGAAAACAACATTAAAATAAATAATTATTTATTTATTTTCATCTATTTTAAAGCATTCGCAAAACATCTGTTGGCAAAATGACATTTACGTAGCACTAGTCCAAATGATTTTTTTCAATAAAGTTCTGAGATCTGAAGTACGTATGTGTGTTATGTTTATGTTATTATATAAGAAAATGTCTCAACTTACAGTGACTCTCCACGCGTTTGAAAAAAAAAACACATTATCTTTCAGCCTTGTGAGGTATCTATGACAGCTCGCAACGTCTGGCCCCCGTTTCACACACACACACACACACACACACACACACACAAATAATAAGTCAGCTCTTTCCTGGCTAAGAACTTAATTATCAAGGTTAGATGGCCACAATGGCACATCTTATCCTATCAGGAGTAGTGTAACATCACTCTCAAGCAAAATAACTTATTTATTTATTCATCCATTTATTTATCTATTCATTTTGAAACTGGGACTTGTATTATACATGTTCACGACAGAGGACCGCGCCTATATTTTCTATTATGAAGAGGAAAACAATTTTTGCCCGCTGAAGGTCATGGAAATATAAATGGCCTTTTAGATCTAAATAATTAAACTTAAATGAAACAAGACATCGAATTAAAGAGCAAAAACGGGTCGAGAAATATTTATTGAGTAGGAGAAAAGTGTCTTTTACAGAAAAATCCATTTTGGTGGTTTAATCCCGTGGATAGTCACTCTAAATAACTGGGCATACTGATTAATAGAATGCAGAATATACGAGGCAATTCTCCGCTATATACAGCGTCGCACGCAACCACAGACTCGCGACAACAGAGAACAAACAATAAAATCAGAAAACAATACCTTCATATTATTTGGTAACATATGTACCGGTGACGTATGTATCAAATAAACAATTTCAACAAACGCTTTCAAGACAAAGAAACCTCAACTCGCCCTACTTTTCCTTCTTAGTGCAATGTAGTATACCGAAAGAATAAGGCGTTTGCTCACAAAACGGACAACAAACAATAAAAGATAAAAGTATTTACACGCCACATGGTAACTATTTTCATTGGTTGTCTTTCGCTTTGTGCGCCAACACTTATGTCTTAATGTTACATTAAAATGAAAGAAAACGAGACAAATAAGATTTCTTGCCTTCAACTATCTGTGAAAATTGTTCATATGATACATATTTGGAAAAGTATATATATTAAAAAATCTCAATCAGATGGCAAACCAAAACGCTAAGATTAATACTGCATTTACTCCTACTGTTTAACAAATGAGAACCACACAGGCGTATTTCTGAAATATTAAACTGCCTAATTCTTCAATATTCTTTTCTACTTTTATCATTTTACAGTTGGTACGAACAGTCAAAATGTCGTTTTTGCTCCCCACGTCGGTTTTTCATGTCATGAGTTATTTTATACTGTCAATAATATGCTATAAATAAGTTTACGTAGGTTATGCAGACCCCATGAAATTGTTTCATAAATTGTATCAACATTTTATGACAAATTCCAATCTCCCCATCTATGTCTTGAAATGAATGGTTGAACATAACGTAAGTTAAATCCCCTTTACACTGGACGGCGTCCTTTCTGCGTCCTTTGTGCGCCCATGAAACTGGCATCGCTGTGGTCGTAGAAATGAGGCACAAGCATCGTTTTGGTTGCAGAATGAATGCTCAGCGATTGGCCAGTTGTCGGCACGAAAATATTCGTTTTACTCTCAAACGGGACATAGAAAGGACGCCGTCAAGTTTGAAAGGGACTTGAAACATTGTGACCCCTTATAAGATAAGATAAGATAAGATAAGATAAGATAAGATAAGATAATTAAGAGTTTATTTAGCCAATTATAAAAATCGGAAATCATTTTCCTTTTCGAGCAAGTTTGATAATATATCATCATTATTACAGTAATGACTAGTGAAGTGCTGTACTTAAAATACAACGCTACCAAACAAGTCAACGTCGCTCCTACGGACATGCGCGCTTTGACACTACCACGTTTATAGGTGAAGGCATGAGGTCACAAAGCAACTTCAATGCGTATTTGTTCAAGCACGTGCCCAGGGTCGTCTATAATGCCACGGCAGCGCCGTATACGTACGACACAACGATAAACTTGCAACCTGACAAATACGAGTATTACGGTTATTATCTGCTTCCAGGGTCGACCATCGAGCAACGAGTGTGTAGCGATTTTACAGGCAGCAAAATTACCATGTTCGTGATACGAGGCAGAGACAATCTCGACAAATGGATTAATAGTGAGAACAAGATTGATTGCGGAAATTGTTACATCTACTCTCGCGTTGTCGAAGCAAGCTGTGGTCGTTGCTCCTGGGACGAGCAGTTTTCAACTTACACTCTACATATAGAAGAAGCCGATGATTACTATTTTCTTTTCGCCAACTTTTTCCTGTACAACTCAAACGTCGTCCTTGCTCACTTCCGGTTGAACCGCACCATCTATGATGTCACGGACGGCCTTATGAAGTCATCATGTAATCATGTGACTCACTGCTATTACCCACTGGAGATAAATTCAGCGGAAGTTGTCGTCATCGAAGCGCCTGCGTCCTACTCACACGATGACGATATGGACGTCACGAACAACGCTCGTTCTTGGCGGTACGTAGTTTTCTTCCTAGTCATCCCATTAGCACTTGGCGTCATCTTTTCGTTTCTTTTGTACCTCTTTTGCAAGGAATCTGAGAAGGTGGGATGGACAACAAATACATTTAAGCACCTAGAAGTCAATTAATACCTGGCAGTTACGGGCGTGCAACCGGTGGTGCAGCAAACGTGTTTGGCATTCAAGTCTCGGAATGCATTTCATTGGCATCAAAAGATCGAGATCCCTCCCGTGAGTAAAGAGACCGGATGCAGTCGTCGTATGGACAGGCTGTGTAAAAGACGGCTTGGACAACGTTGTTGCACGCCACAAATTATGAAAACACTAGTGAATTTGTCTTTTGGAATTTAAAATGTTATATTCATGATGTATTGTGAAACCTACATGTTATGTACGTGCATATACAAATGTGTGTCCGGCTATATTTTCTCTTAACTGAACGATCTACATATCATTTCAATCTACATCAAAGCTAAGAATACACGATCAGTGCAGTGGTTTCGACACTGTGTTTCCTGTAGTGAATCAGAATTATTCGTATATGTGCAAAAAACCAATAGGCCTGCGCAGGTAGGAGAATTGGAAACTTGGGCTGTATATTTTTCTCTCAAACGCTGCTGTAATTATATTTTTACCATTTTTAATAATGTAATATACGACACTAAAATAAACATATAACTGCACTCCACATTATTGTGTTTGTATTGACATGTATCATTTGCATTTTATCTCCTGACCAAGATATGCCAAGATATGCCATATGGTCCTGTCTCAAACTTCCCTCTTTCTCTCTCTCTCAAACATCAGCCTAGAGAAATGAAGCCGAAAGAGATGTACCTTTCTCAATATCTGAATGCGACCAAAACTTCGTCGTTTACAATAAACACGTTAGTGTAATGCTGAAAAAATTAATCCAAAGTGATAAATAACCCAGGAACTTTGGAAAGTGACTCCACAGTTTGATAATTAAGATTTATTTGACTGCACCTTAGGGATAATTACCGATGAAACAGATCGCTCCTCCAAGTACGATAAGGTTACAGGAAGGCAGGCAAAAGCAATGCTGTAATGTTCACAAATCGTGTTGGTCGCCCAGTTGTCCGCTCAATACTTCATAATGCGGTGCATAGCACTTACGCCCTCCGGATTTTTTTATATAGACATTTTGATTCAGCGGGTATAATATACATATAATTATGTGTAATGTCATACTGAAGCAAAAATGATTGCAACATAAGTGCAAAAACGTCACCCTTTTTCACTTATCCTTAGAACGACAGGCGCCATTAGACAGATTAAATCCCTATTCCGACGTTCATATGCCAGGATCTTGCAGCGACGGCGCGTATGGAGGC